TCATCAGGGCCCGGGAAGGGATTTACTTTGAGAAAATGAACGGTGTGATGGGAAAGAAATTCCCCGAACTGGTCAAAATGAGATATTTCTTGGAAGAAGCTATAAAGTCCGGCAAGGTACAATCCATGGCTGCGCTTCAAAAAACGAGTAAAGCAATCCAATCAAGGTCAATCTGTAGTGGAAAGAAGAAAAAGAAAGAGGTATCAGTAGTCATCCCTTATTATCAACCCAATCCACATCATGGAAACACCTCTTATTCTCCAAAAAACCATTCCCCACAACCACCTGCTTATGCTCCAGTCTACCACACGCAACCATATTACAATACTCAACCTCAATATAACCCGCATCGAGGCCATATTAATCCAAACCCACCACGACCGACCCACCTATGCACCCGGACACTACCCAAATTTTGAAGAATAAGGTCCCAGAAACTATACCCTCATTGCTGAACCTCTAGCTCAACTGTTTGAAAGACTGATGAGAGAAGGTTTGATACATCCAATAGAAGGAAGGGTTCCTGAGTATTCCTCAAAGTATTTTGATACAACCAAACGGTGTGTGTACTACTCAAACGTACTTGGGCATGATATGGAAGATTGTTTCAGGCTGAAGAATGAAATCGATTCATTGATCAGAAGTGGAACCATTCAGTACACCCCGGCTCCGTCCAATGTGAACCGCAATCCACTACCGAATCACTGGAATCAAGGTGCTAACATGATCACCTTGGATGAAGAATATGACTTGAATGGAATAATTGTCACGATAGGAAATGCTGAGGCTACAAGGGTCCCACCTCAAAGCACTCCGATTATCATAGTACAATTGAAACCTACGGTGATGGTTCAGACTTACCAGGAATAGCCCACCACTACTACCAAGGACGAAGAGGATCGGGAATACAAATAGTCCTATGGACATATCAATTGAAGGGGAAATCCAAGATGACAGATTCAATAATGGCTCACGGTATGACTAGGTCTTGGAGGTGATACACTCCCGAGGATGCAAACCGAGGGAATCTAGGAAGAGAGTAGGTTCAAAGAAGAAATGTAACGGATCCCGAGGCTGCAAAATTCTAGAAGAGGATGTTGAACAAAGAGTACTCCATGTTATGTGGGGTGAGAGTGCCGAGCGACACCAATAGTGAGGCACTGGCAGAGACCATTGGGATGGTGGAAGCAAATATGATCACTTTCCAAAGAGTTGATCTTCCTATCGAAGGTTTGGGTCACAGCAAAGCTCCACACATCACTGTCAAATATGGATATAAAGTGGTATCTCGAGTACTTGTTGATAGAGGATTTGGAGTCAATATCTGCCCGCTCTCTAATCTACGAGAGTTGGGTATCCACCTGAGGGAAGCCAAGAAAAGTCATGTGAGAGTAAGTGCTTTTGACGGGTCGCAGAAGGATGCCATTGGAGAAATCTGTTTGGCCCTGCAGATTGGACCAGTTGAGTTTCGTATACTATTCCAACTGATGGATATTTCATCTTCATAAAAGTTACTTTTAGGAAGAACCTGGATATACATGGCAGGGTCCGTCCCATCTACCCTACACCAATGTATGAAATTTGAATGGGGTTGTCAAGAGATCGTAGTCCACGGCGAGTGGAGCCAGTCGGCTTATTAGGAACATGCAGTTCCCATTCATAGAAGGACTAGATGGGGTCACTTTCAATGTAGTTGAGATCATGCAAACCACCGAAATTGAAGAGACTGAGCAAAACTTGGGAATGCAGTCTCTGTATAGATCAAAGATGGCCATGAGGGAAATTATGAAATACGGATACAGACCTGGAATTGGGCTGGGAGCCCGATTAGACGAGATATCAGAATCGATTGAGCCGAATGAGCAGAAAGGAAAAGCCCACATAGGGTATCAACCTCCGAATGGGAAGACTCGTACTGGTAGCTTCGAGAAAAAGGCTTTTGTGTCAGAGCATGTTTCGAGTGTGCGCCAGAGCTCAGCACTAGAGGACGACATCATCGATGGAATGGGAAGGCTGTTCGTGACCATGATTGAGGTATGCTGCAAAGGAATTGATATCAAGATACTGACTGTTTAGGAAGCTGAACCAGGAGAGGACTTACGGAATTGGACCGCCAGCCCGTCTTTGGTTCGCCAGGAGTCTTGGTAGTATGGAATTGTAAAATTTTGGAGAAAAGTGAACGGTCAATTGAGGCCTGAACTGTGTCTGTACCTTTTTGTCATTTACCTCTATGAATGCTCAGATGTTCATCTTTTGATGAAATTAAAATAATTTCTTTCTTAAAGTTATTGATAACTAATTTATCGCTTCCTTTACACTTAGTTTTTTCTTTTTGGTAATCGAAACGATAAAAACCTGCGCTCCACGATTATGACTTATAACAAAATCCTCGAGCAAAATGATCCAGATTATGAGGACTACGATGAGTGCATTATGCAGATAATCTCCCACAAGAGTTCGAGCAAGTGGAAATCAAGAAAAAACCAAACCTTGAAGAGACAGAAGTGGTCATGCTCGGAAGACGTAAAAAAAAACCAGAATCAACATCTATCTAGAAGTAGAGTAGAAGGAAGAATTGGTCGAGTTCCTCCGACAATACATCGATGTGTTCGCATGGCCGTATGATGACATGCCTGGGTTAAGTACTGATATCGTTTTGCATTGCTTGCCTACCGATCTTGGTAGACCAGTAGTAAAAAAACCAATAAAATTCAAGTCTGACTTGAGTTTGAGGATAAAAGAAGATGTAACCAAGAAAATGGAGGCGAATGTAGTGAGGGTCACCAATTTTATCACTTGGTTGGCAAATATCGTCCTAGTACCTATGAAAGGTGGGAAGATCAGGATATGTGTGGATTATCGAGATTTCAACAAAGCCATCTCGAATGACAATTTTCCTTTGCCGAATATTCATATCCTCATCGACAATTGCGTGAAACATGAACTGGAGTCGTTCGTGGATTGTTTCTCTGGATATCACCAGATCCCGATGCACGAAGAAGATGTAGAAAAGACAGCCTTCACTACACCTTGGGGAGTTTACTGCTACAAAGTCATGTTGTTTGGGCTCAAAAACATTGGTGCTACTTACATGAGGGCCATGCGACTCTCTTTCACGACATTATCCACAAAAAGTTCGAGGTATATGTGGATAAAGTCATCATCATGTCTCGAAAAAGTTCAGAACACTTGGACGACTTAAGGAAAGTTTTCGAGCGTTTACAGAGGTATAGTCTGAAGTTGAATCCTGCAAAATACGCATTCGGAGTCCCTGCTGGAAAATTTCTAGGTTTCATCGTAAGCCGGAAAAGGATAGAATTGGATCCTTCAAAGATCAAAGCCATTCAAAAGTTGCCACTGCCCAAGGGTAAGAAAGATGTGATGAGTTTCTTCGATAGACTGAATTACATCAGCCGTGTCAGAGCCTAATCTACAATAATTTGTGAACCTATATTCAAGCTATTGAAGAAGGATGCTGCCATAAAGTGCACAGAAGTGTTTCAGAATGCTTTCAACAGATTTAAGCAGTATTTGTCAAATCCACCACTGTTGGTGCCGGTTGAGCCCGGTAAGCCACGATTGTTGTACCTATTTGTCTTGGATAACACGTTTGGATGTATGTTGGGACAACATGATAAAACCCGAACAAAGGAGCATGCTATATACTATTTATGTAAGAAGTTCACACCATGCGAGGCTAAAACATTGATAGAGTGCACTTGCTGTGCTTTGACTTGGATTGCCCAAAAACCGATGCCTACAGAAAATCTAGCTAAATGGCAGATTCTCCTTATCGAATTTTACATTGTGTACATAATGCAGAAGGCTATCAAAGGACAAGCTTTAGCCGACCGCCTTGAAGAGAATCTAGTGGACAAGGATTATGAACCGCTCACTAAGTACTTTCCCGATGAAGAGGTGTTATTCACCGAAGAAGATATCACAGAGTCATACCCTGGATGTAGAATGTTTTTCAATGGAGTGCATCCTCGGGATCAGGATGGCAAGCGACATAAACATCAAAGAGATTTTGGTCATAGGGGATTCTAATCTATTGATACATAGAGTCCAAGGGGAGTGGTCCACCAAGAACGTTAAGATTCTTCCATACTTGCACTATGCAATAGAGTTATGCAACAAGTTCACGAAGATTTAGTTCAAGCACTTTCCCAAGATGTAGAACAAGTTTGCCGACGCTCTTACAACCCTATCATCCATGATTCAACATCCAGATAAGAATTATATGGAACCTATCGAGGTAAAAATCAAAGATTAACATGTATATTATTTTCATGTGGGCGAAGAGCCAGATAGTAACCATGCACCACGACATCAAAAGGTTCCTCAAAAAAAAGAGAGTACCAAGAGAGTGCTACTAATAGTCAGAATCGAGCGCTCAGGAGGCTGGCTAATCAGTTTTCCTTAAAAGGGAAGTCCTATATAGGAGGACCCCAGACTTTGGTATGTTAGGATGCGTAGATGCCGCCGAACCAATCCGACTATTTGAAGAGATGCATGCAGGAACATATGGACCCCACATGAACGATATCACCTTAGCCAAGAAGAACTTGAAATCTGGATACTTTTGGATGACCATGGAAAGTGATAGTATCCACTATGTGTAGAAGTGTCACTAGTGCCAGATCCACGGGGATTTCATCCGGGTTCTGCCTAGTGAGTTAAATCTATTAGGTTCGCCTTGGCCATTTGCCATTTGGGGCATGGATGCAATTGGACAAATAGAGCCCGCCGTATTAAATGGGCACCGTTCTATCTTGGTAGCCATTGACTTCTTCACAAAATGGGTCGAAGTATCTACCTACAAGGCCGTCACAAAGAAGGTGGTGGCAGATTTCGTCCAAAACAACATCATTTGCTGATTTGGGATACCCAAGTCAATCATCACTGACAACGTAGCTAATCTCAACAGTGATCTCATGAGGGAAATTTGCGAGAAGTTTAGAATTATCCATCGCAACTCCACAGCCTACATATTACAAATGAATGGGGTAGTTGAGGCATCCAACAAGAACATCAAGATGATTATGCAGAAGATAATGGACAGTCACAGGCAATGGCACGAGAAGTTATCCTTCACCTTACTGAGTTATCGAACCACCATGAGAACATGCTCTGGAGCGACGTCATACATATTGGTATATGGAACCGAAGTTGTGATACATGCAGAGGTTGAGAAACCATCCTTAAGTGTCATCCAAGAAGCCAAGTTAGACGATGCAGAGTGGATACGGGTCAGCCAAGAGCAACTCATGCTCATTGACGAAAAGAGAATGGATGTAGTATGCCGTGGTCAGCTCTATCAGAATAGGATGGCCAGTGCATTCAACATAAGTGTGATGCCTTTCCAGTTTATGCCGGGGCAACTGGTTCTAAAGAAAATATTCCCCCATTAGGAAGAAGCGAAAGGAAAGTGTGAACTAAATTGGCAAGGCCCTTACGTGGTCTACCGAGTGTTGTCGGGCGGAGCTCTGATTTTGGCATAAATGGACGGAAGAGTCAGCCCTATCAAGTCAGTCACAATCAAAAGGTACTACATTTGAAGACGATGGAGTTAAGGTTTAGCTGTAACATAACTACACTAAACTGACTTCCCACGGAGGGATACATAGGCAACTCACTTAGGGTTCAGTTTCATTCTACCCCTTTCTTTTGTTATAGAAAATCCAAATATCATTTTGTATTTTTGCCAGAACTACGCCGCGATTTGATTTCCTCTGGAAGAAATACGTAGGCAATCCTTACCGGCATTCAGTGAACTATGTTCTAGCCAGATTCCATTTGGATATGTTCTGGCCTGATTCCATTTGGATACGTAGGCAGTCTGAGTTAGACTCGGCCATTCCATTTTTAAGCTCATCATTTATTCATCTGTTGTAATCGAACTACGTTTTGACCTAATTCTATTTGGATACGTAGGCTGCCTCATAATCTATGAACTACGTTCAGACCTAATTCCATTTCGGATACATAGGCAACCTGAAAGGGTTCGGTCATAACCTTTGGAAGCCTTTGTAATGCATTAGCTCGGATTAGGGCGCAATCGTAACGATAAACACCCATGTCGTTAGGAGAATCATGGAGGATCGACATCAATGTGATAAAGGTTTAAGGAAACAACACTCTCATTTAACGAATTTTTGAAACATGTCATAATCCGGAATGACGACATTATCCATGAAAGAAAGATTTTCAAAAAGGTTTTCTAAAATATCGTAATTTGTACCACCTATTGAACTTCATGGGGCAACCTTAGCAGTACCAAGGCAAATCCAGGACTACGGTCAACACAAACCAACACCTCCCCCCTCCCGCTAAAAGTTTTTCTTAGAGTGCAGGGCCAATAGGACATAAGGAACTGTTGGAAATACACTGGGCAAATAGCAAATCCGTTGCTCTCTCTGGACTATCATCCCTCTTTCTCCATTTCAAATTTTCTTGGTATAACTAAAACTAACCCATCCTTTGCGAGTATTTCGGAATCAGACCTCTGACGCAAACAAGGCATATTGTACGTAGCACACCGACCGCTCAATCAATCAGAGCACCTTGTATAATACGAGCCGTTGGCTTCACCAATCGGAGTCCTGTATATAGCAAATTGCCAGCTCAGTATATTGGAGCACCTTGTACAAAACGAGCTGCTAGCTCCATCAATTAGAGCCTTGTATATAGCCAATCATTTGTTCGATTAATCGGAGCGCCTTGTACAACTCAAATGTCGGCTTCGCCAATCGAAGCCCTGTATATTGCAAACTGTTCGCTCCGCCAACGGGAGTGATCTGCACCGTCGCTCCACTACATCAGAGAACAGAATAGATAGCTTCAAACCACGTCGCTAACATTCTAACAATCGATGGCCACAATTTAGCCTCGGAGTCAAGAGTATCTCTTGGGCATGCTTTTCCTTTATTGTTATCACGAATATTTTGACGTTTTGCTCATGCAACTTACATGCATAATTACCTTTTCTTCAAATCAAACACCCCCATCAAGGGGAGATACTTTACATGTTTTGGTGCAAAAATCTCCCAACAAGTGGATGTTATGTCCCGCAATATTACGTCGATATTTCATCCTGCAGTATTATATTAGGATGACGTTACGCCTTGCAGTATTACATCACGATGATGTTTCGCTTAACAGTATTAAATTACGACGATGTTGCACCCTGTAGTATTGTACGTTGAATTTGTCGTAAGCTAATTGGCATCAGTCCAAGGAAAATATTGTTTGGAGATAATAAGGATTGTGCTATATCAAACAAGTGATGAGTAAATTCGTGAAGGTAAGAGGGGAAGCAAGTCAAAGAAAATGAATTTTCGTCCAAGTTTGGCATGTTGGGATAAAATACGGGCCGAGCAATAATATCCGATATTTATGGATTAGTACCATACAAGGTACCATATGACCATATTAGTATGATGTATAAAGTGTATCAAAAATAAGTAGAATTTTAAGTAATTTGAGACCATTCTTAATTTTGCAGGTAATTGGTTAATTACCGGGTGGCAGGATATCACCTAGTTAATTAATTATTTATTTGTTGGATAAAACTAAACCACCATGTGGCAGCAAGCCACTGCCTATACATATGAGTGTTAGTTATTTTAGGGTATGTGGCAAACTAATGTGTTAAATACAAGCACTGCATGTTTCTACGTGTAAAGGCATAGAAGTTGGCTTTTTGACTTCATTCTATGGTGCTAAATACAAAACTCTACACGACACACGTAGTTTCGAGGGCATGAAGTAGATTTTGATTACTTGAAATAGGAACTAAACTAATAGAGAATCATTTCGTACTTATTGATTTCTGTCATAAATATCAAGATTTATTTTCTTTAAAATTCATACTAAGACCTTTTCTTTTAACTTCCCTTTGTTAGCTTCGACTGTCTTTAATATATTGAGTATTGGAAGTATTCTTTTTTCAATTGGATGTCCCCATAAGGGACAATCCTGAAAGTATTTGACAGACGTTAAAATTAAATAAAGTATAATTCATATCACCTTCAACCAATTCCTACAAGGATTCCAACGATAGCAACCTCAATCCAACGAGATTTCTTATCACCTTAGCAACGTGAGATTTTGCAATTCTAAGAGAGTACGGTGCAATCTTTCTCAAGAATATCATACAAATTTTTCCTACTCCAGGTATGTTAAGACTAAGCCCTTACTTCAATTTGCATGATCGTAGTAATTACACAAGTTTGATAACGAGGCATAAAGAAAAATTAATGTCCCTGAATTTAGGTATATTTTCCTAGTTTTGTAAGTTACAATACTCTCCTTATCAGAACTTCATATTCAATTGAGTATTTCCTTCTTCCAGTCAAGAGAGCAGAGAGTTTATATATACAGTATTAGAGCATTTTCATTACCATCGAGTTATAATCGATGGGCAGGCCCCATTTGGGCAACCTCTGATCAGATGGTAAGTTATATACCGAGCCTACTGTGGCCGAGCGCATATGAGTGAGCCCAGTTGGTCGAGATACAGAGTCTAGTGTCGACGTCCCCTTTTTCTCGCGAAATCGGATTTACGATATTTGGGCGGACAACTCTATTCCCTTTTGGGATTTGGGTTTTTGGATTTGAAGAGTCGCCACCTAATGATTAAGTGCATTAGGACACTAAGAGTTTATTGAGTCGGAAAACCAGAGTTCGGGTAAGGGCTAGAAATTATCTCGAGGGGAAGGTGTTAGGCACACCTCAAGATCCACTAGTGTGGTTCCCGGCCATGTCATATTGTGACTTTAAGTGCAAACAAATGTAGGCAAACAAATACAAAAGGGTTTTAACATAATAGTTGCAAGAGATTAAGGAAGTTAAAGGAACTAAATTTTGATAGAGGGAGCAGTTTTGAAATCTTGAATAAAGGAAGAAATTGTCATATAGTTGTTGCAAGCAGTTTAAAAGCTGAAGTTTTGGCGAAAAAGTAGTTGAAATTCTGAAAATAAAGTGGACAAGTGAGGGAAGGGGTCCTAGGTTTATACATAATATGGATCACTCCACACAACACCTGGTAACCGCTTAAACGCGTGGTGTTATCGCGTGGTCATCATATCCATATCTACCCATTCCCACCCCGTTAGGTATTAAACGCGGAACGGTTTTGTTTTACCTATTGCATGTTATTACCTGCCCCATCTTATCAGTCCCGGAGGCACTTAGGACCACTAATCCTAAAGGGTAGGATATTAGGCTGATTGGTTTCAAAGGATAAAAATCTAAGGCGACATACAAATCATATACTGCATGTTGGGGGAAGCATGTAGACATATAAAAGCTCATATATACCTCCTCATACAAAACACATAAATAGCATGACTTAAACACAATTAATGTCTCAAAAGATAGGAGCAGTTAAAACTTGGTTTTGAAAATGAAGTAGTAGCAATAATAGCACGATTGTGGTCAGAGATGAGTAACGTAGTAAATAAAATCAGAAGCTCAATAAAAGTAAGTAGGTGCCTCATTTCAAAATCGTTTTCAGCGGAGTTTTGTTTAATTAAAAGCTGAGTGAACTTCAGAAAATCAAAACAAGAATAGGAATGGCAGAGTTAAAACTTAAAGAAGTTGGTTGGTTTTAGGCTAATAGAAACACAATTGATCAGTTCTTATCGGACCTGAAGTTTGCCTAGTCGTTACACATTGTCTGGTTATTTAGAGAAAGAACACACATATTTTGATTCTGATTTATAAAGGTACGCGTGATAAGACATTTGCAGAAAACGTTTCAAACCACTTAGCCATATTTTAACAAAGTTATTAGCTAAACGTGAATTAACTACTGCAACTCGAACGAGTGTGGAGTCCTATGGGCAGGATATCTAATGCATAGAAGAGTCCCTAAAAAAACATGATTTCTAATATGCCAATGCAATAATGACGAGTTATTTGGCTTGTTGTTAGTTATCTGCTGGTTATTAACTGATCGTGGTTACAAGATGAGCGTAATGACAGGCTGAAAGTAAAGAAGCTAAAGCAGGATCTCTAATGAATGAGATGCATGTCCTATGCAAGTTGTCTATTGCGCAAATAAATAAAATCCTATAAGCATGTTTTCTACCCATTATTTATACTAAGCATGCATAACCCTCCCGCATATTCACTATTCAACCCCAATCGTTTGTTTACAAATTATTACAAACCAGTATCATCTGAATTACAGTAAACAAGAACAAAAATAAGAAGTTACTCTATAGGGAGCCTTCAATTAGGCCCAGTCTTCCAACCTCAACCCCTTCGAGTTCACAGCCTTTGCCATGGTCTAGGTGCGGCAAAGCTCCCTAGGGCCCCATTGGACCCCTGGCCAATACCAGCACCTAGACATTTAAAAGAAAATGCAGGACATCTGCAGTGTGGAATACCAACCTTGTGTGTCAAA